AGGGTACCTACGCTGGAGCAGTCTGTTCCTGAAGGACTGCACCCCATGGAAACGACCCACACTGCGGCAGTTTGTGGAGAACTGTCTCCCATGGGAGGAACCCCACACTGGAGCAGGGGAAAGTGTGAGTCGTCCTCCCACTGAGCAGGAAGGAGCAGCAGAGACAACGTGTGATGAACTGACCACAACCCCTATTCCCTGTCCCCCTGTGCTGCTGGCAGGGAGAAGGTGGAAAAATCAGGAGTAAAGTTAAGCCCAGGAAGAAAGGAGGGGTGGGGAAAAGGTGTTTTTAAGATTTGGTTTATTTCTCATTATCCTACTCTGATTTGACTGGTAATGAATTAAATTCCACCCCCTCAAGTTGAGTCTGCTTTTCCCATGACATAGTTGGTGAATGATCTCTTCCTGTCCTTATCTCAACCCATGAACCTTTTGTAATATTTTCTCTCCCCTGTCCAGCTGAGGAAAGGGAGTGATAAAGCGGCCTTGGTGAGCACCTGGTGTCCAGCCAGGGTCAATCCACCACAACTACTCTGAACAATGCTTTGAAAAATACCAGTTGTGTTCAGAGGTTAAAAATGTAGATAAAAGTGAGAAAGTCTGGATTTTTCAGGAGTTTCTTAAAAGAATAAAATAACAAGGTACTGGTCCGTCATTTGTACTCATCTTTTGTTGTATTAATATGTGACACAGTAGTCCAATTAATTCCTTAAATAATTATTTTCATATACTTCTGTGACAACACAGCATGATAGCATGTGACAGTTTTAAAAAAATATATAAAATTTTAAATATTTTCACAAAAAATGTTTAAAAACACCAACCTACATATAAATTATCTTACATTAAACAAGAGAAGAGAACTTTTTAACAAATCTCGGTGTCCAGCTTCTGTGAAATTAATAGCACCTATACATACTTAAATAATGATTTGTTTAAGGTACTTAAGCAGCTAATGAAGCCTGGTTTCTTACAGACTTGGGTCCTACACCTCCCATTCTAGGACAACAGTCCCAGATCTTCTCTATGACTTCACTGTCTGTCTCCACACATCCTAGACTCTCATGGTAAGCTCCCCACACTTGCCATGTCACTTACCTACTTTTGTTTTGGAATCAGAAAGGGAAAAGCAGCAAATCCTGCAGCTAGTTTGTACTATATGCTGATTTCCCAGCCAGTAGCTGCTGAAAGCAATAGGTAGCATTTGAGTTCAGTCTGTTTTGCCCTGCTGTCTCTCCCGTATATACCCATTTGATTTTCATAAATCTTGAACTACCTTAGTTTTGATACCTCTAGTGATGAAAGATTATCACATTGGCTTGAGATTGATCAACAGCTTCAAAAGTCATTATGATCAGACAGAGCATGATGAACTAAAACTAATCCAAACATAACACTGTGATTTCTGAAACTGGATAGATGAAAATTAAAAGAGAAACCAAGACACAAAGATTATAATACCAGACAAGGTCATGTAATCCTGCAGTGATTTCATTTCATAGTTTATGCATTTTTCCATCCATGAACACCAAACTGTTATATTAAACAGCCTATTCTTTTACTTTGGCATGACTGCTGAACATGCAGAGAAAAGAATGAGTGTTTCACCTCCAAAATTGTTCCACTGACTTCAGAGATAATTCCTTAATATTTATAGTTAATTTTATATTGAACAACTAATTACAAATAATTATACTACTGGATACAAATGCTCACAATCTCTCAAATAACTGAATTTAAACTACATTACAAGCTGGCTTCAGACACCAAACCTATAACAAGTTCAAATGGAAAAATTCTATATGCAACATTTAAGAATTTTGGGCATAAAGGATAAAAATTAATATTGTAAACATATCCAGTCTGTAAGAGGATCTTAACCATTTGTCATAAAAGCATAGGTGTAGTAACCAACCTCCAAGACACCACCACATCTTTTACAATTTCGCCCCCCTTCACAACAACAGTACTTGTTCACATATCAGCCCCAATCAGTGGCTGAGGGGAATACATTAAGTGTGGGCTGATTACAAGCCAAAATCAAGAATCATACTGAAACCTTTGCCTGGGAGGTAAGTTCTAGTTTCAAAAGGGACTATGTAAATTAGCTCACACTTGATACATCTCATCTGTAATTCAATTATTTCATTGAAATATATAATTACTCACACTGGGGCTGCAGAAGTTAACACCACATTGACAGAGGGAGCTAGACTGTTCCACAGCTCATACATGTACTGCCCAACTGCAAAGTCTTTCCCTTTTGACAACTATGGACACCCATGTTACAAATTTGACCTCACCTACAAAACTGCAGAAAATGGCAAAATACGAACCTACTGACTATTTTGTAGAGACATTGATGACCAGGATAGACAAAAATCAAACTGACTCACATCTTGAGTAGTTTTGTAGAGCAGATGTTTGTCTCACCTATCCAGAATGTCTCTTGCTTCTCTACTGTCCATGTTAAAATTTAAATAAATTCTCCATGTTTATTGTCCTGCCCTGATTGTCCCACACCCTTCCTGCCACTGGTGGTTAATGGGAACAATATGCCAGGAATACCACTGCCAGGTCTTCTCCCCAATATCCGTATAGCCTGACTGCTGCTCTACTTAAACAGTTCAAAGGGTATGAAAATGACAAAAAGTTGCTTCAATTCTAACATGTTGCATAAAAATATTGCCAAAGGAAGTACACTACATGTTTAAAGGTATAGCATGAACTGAGATTGTCTGGACTAATATTTAGGGATTTTGCTGACTAGGATTCATAGAATCATAGAATACCAGACTGGAAGGCACCTCAAGGATCACCTGGTCCAACCTTTCTTGGCAAAAGCAGAGTCTAGACCAGCTGGCCCAGCACCCTGCCCAGCTGAATCTTAAAAGTTTGACTGAGATTACAAAAGCTGAAGTTTACAGCACCAACCTAAGATTTTTATTATTATTATTATTATTATTTTTTAATAAGAGGAAACATCTTTACACCATTAAAAGTCTGCCCAGGCAGAGGGAACCCGATGGCATGTGTCAACCATACGCCGAGCCGACCCCGGGGGTGCCGGCGGGCCCGTCCCCCGCCCCCTCAGAGCTCGGCGGGCCCGCCGCTCCCCGTGTTGGAGCTAATCGGGTGGGATGG